TGTTCCTCTTCCTGTACCTACTGAGTCTGTAATTACTGCTAGCCTGTTGCCCCTTGTTCTTTTATTCCAGTCTTAACTTGCTTCTCCTCTTCTTGGGGCTACTGGGCAGTGTTGAGGGCAGAAAAGAGTTTCATTTAGCATGGTGCAGAGTCCTGAGGTGCATTTACAAAGCCTTCCTTATACTGCAGCATCTGTCTGCTTTCAGAGCTGTAGGCTAAATATCACCGGCAGTTCAGTGGTGGGCCCAGGCTAACAGCTGTGCTGTGGCATCGGGCTCTGTCTTAGGCGCAGCACTGAGAGTCATCCTGCTGCTTGTGGTGCTAGTCATTTTCTTACCTTTCTGTCAGTTTGATGGGTCTGTATTCTCCTTGCTCTCTGTTCTTGTCTGGTCTTACAATACCTGTTCTATCGTGAGGATGAACAATGTAAAAAAACTATCCTCTGCGGATGAAGCATGGTCAGTTCTCTGTAGGGCATGATATGCTAAAGATGTATATGCAAATAGTGTTTTACTGAAGAAAATTATTGTGGAATAATACTGCCTAATTCCAAGAAAACAGTTAAACTGTGAAGTGTGTAGGGTTTGTTTTTTGGTGTGTGGTTTTTTTTTTTTTTTCTTCTGACTCATGCCCCCAACTTTACTTTGATCAAGATGGGATGTGTTGTCTTGAAAGAAGGAAATATGCGTATTTGTGGTATTATAGTAATGCCTCTTCTGAATACCATGGAAAATGTTTGTCTGCTTTGTAGCAAATTTGAATTAATTTTTTGTTAATGGGGACAGAGCATGCTTTTGCATATGCATATTTAGGAACCTGCAGGGCCCTTCTAAGCATGAATGATATTAATTTGAAGAAAATGGTTGTCATGGAAAATTTTATTGCAATTATTTTAGGTTTGGTAAAAGTGTCAGTATTGTAACACTGTATGTAACTTAAGTTATATGCACTGCTCTCAGATTGTAAAATGTTTCCCATTCTTTTTTTAAAGGTATAGAGAAGACAAAGGAAAATAAACTAGGTGATAAGGATGCACATCTGAAAAATGAAAAGGCAAGCATATTGTAAGATTGAAGACCACTAAAAGCAGTCTTTTAGTAGCAGGTTTGAAGTTGTTATAGACTGGCTCTTTCATAACAAGCTTTATCACAATATATTGCATGTACTCATAGTTCAGATAACTTTCCTCTGTCTTTTTTTGCACTTGACATCTATTTACCTATGAGACTCTTGGCCCCACTTCTGTTATCCTTTTTATAGGAAGTTAGTCTTTTGTGACAGTTTGATCAGAAATAAATGAGGTTGCCACGTTTAGGTAGTTACCAGGGTTTAAAAACGTTCTCAAACCTCTGTCACTGAACAATCACTAGCACATAATCATAAAGTGAGCTGATTCTTATGAAAAATTACTTTGTATTAGGAAGTTTAATTTTTGGTTTAATCATCTCTCTGGATTTGGTTTAATGTGCATGCGAGTGAGTGCCAGTACAAGACTGGGAATGGATAACTGCAGCAGCCCCAACTCTGGCTGTGACTGTAAGATCCATTGAGTTGATCGATGAGTTGCAGATACTGCAAGTGTACTCCTGTCCCAGCTGCAAATTTCACAGCCATCTTTATTCTGACTCTGGTGCATGTTGCACACTTCAGCAAGTCCATTCAGGTTGCTCAAGATACAGAAAACTGGTTTCTTTTGTGGGGTGGGATAGTTTCCTACAAATTAAATTGTCTCATAGATAGACATGCAGCTGTGCGTGTGCATGGATAGTAGTGGAACCCCTTTTTGTGATGATGAGGTGCTAATTTTGACTCACTGCATCTAGTGAAATTTTCCTACATCCACATAAATTATGAAACTACATCCTGGGAGTTGTTTTCTCTACTTCCAGCCATGTCATTATTTCTAGTAGAAGATCAGTTCTTCCTGGAAGCAGCTGCTTCTCTCTGTGGTTAATTGTAGTTCCAGCTGTATTATTCTGACTTGATAATTAAATTGCTTTGTTCTTATTTTTGAACCTTTAAAAGAGAATTGCTTATTCCCAATTCTATAATTACTTGAGTGTCCTAATTCAAATTCTACTGTGTTAAACAATAAAACTATTTGCAGTTTGACTGGAGAATACACTTGAGTGAATTAGTTGTCTTTCTATGGCTTTTAAACATTTGGTCCTGTGATATTATTTTTCCACTTATGGTAACTTTTTATAGTGTCCACTTTTTGATTAGCATTGCTTAAGTCCAATTAATTTGTCTTTGTTCAGAACAACCACTATTCATTTTGGTAGTAGCAAAAGCTTAATTAGCTCCCTTTTTCTATTTACTTAGAACCTGTTAATTGTACTTTTGCTGTAGAGTTGGTCCTGTGAATTATGATCTCAAGCAGTCTAAGCCTTTTTCATCTTTTGACTCCATAGTTCTGAGGTTTGGGGATATGGGAACCGGGTTGAGGAATATTGCAAAACCAGAAAAAAAAAAATTATTGGCTTTGTCATTCTGGCTTGCTCAGTCAATACAGATTGAATAGAGATGGACGATATCCTTTGATCAGTGAAAATTGTCTTGGGGAATGGATGGGAGCCCTGCACAGCAGTAACTTGTAGTTAGTGAGAAGGCCTTAGTTTTTGGAATGGTAATGACAGCAGAGGTACTGAAGGAGACTGGCTGTGCTACAAGAGCAGAAAATACAGTAATTATGAGAGGCTTCAGTTACTTTCCAATGGAGCGGGTGAATATTACGCTTATGCATGATGCTGAGACTAAAAATTAGGAGAGAACTGCTTTGTGGAACGGTTAGAGAACTCACAAGAGAAATTGTTTTTTATTTGATTCTGTGTGAGATCAGGTTCAAAATCTCCCTGCTGAAAGATGCTCTGACAGGGACTGTAATTTTTCTGAGGCATTAAAAGATAGATAAGTCACTACAGGAATGCTTCATTTCAAAAAAGGAAATTACATAAAAATGAAGGAGCTTTTAAAAGAAGATATATGGAATTTCCCCTCCAAAACCAAAACATCTGTAGGTAGTCCAAATAAACTTTGAGAAACAGCTTGCAAATGTGTCACTAATACATCATTTTTTCAAATGCCTCAGGAGTCGAAAGCTTGCCAGCTTCTGTAAGACCTGTTGAAGATCAAGGTGTAAGAGGAGTATTGAGGGAGGATACAACTCTGTATATCTGTAAATAGTTAAACACACATTTACCTTGGGGAATCTTGGAAAGGTTGCCGGTTGCCCTTGTTTATGAAATCAAGACAGAAGTTCTATCTCAGCTGAAGAGGTTGTAGAAGAAACTAGCAAAATAAACAGTAAGAAAATACTAGGGCCAGTGCATACCAAGGAAATTTCTGAAGGAAATCAAGGATGAAGGAGTAGAATCATTACATTACCATGCAACTTCTTGCTTAATGCTATTTAATACCATGTTGCTGTAAAGGGATCCAGGGTCTATCTGGAGTAGGAAAGCTGTTCCGGGCATAGTGGATTAAACAGAATAGAATATAATACTTATTCATACTTCTTCCGTGCAACTTTCATATCTATTTTTGTTACGTCTTACAATCTTGTAAGTTATTTGAAGAAATTGGTGGAGATCCAGTTGACTCAGTGTACTTGAATTTCCAAAGCAGTCATTATGGTCCCTTGCCAAAAGTTCTTTAATAAACTAAGCTGTCATGAAAAAAGCTCTGAATATTGAAGCTAAAGAATGGAAATGAGTGGTCTCTTCTCTCTTCAGACAAAGGTCACTAATAACCTAGTCACTATGGAAGACAGGCTACCAGACTAGATGCATCTTACAGTTGTTAATTTGCCATTTTTAGTGTTGGACTAATACTAGATTAAAAAAAAGGTGGTGGTTTTGGATGTAAGCAATATAAATCAACAAAATAATCTTTACTGATAAATACTTGAATTTTGTTTTATGTAGTGTAGTTCCCCTAAACTGACTCTGTTTTGTTAGTATCAACATTTTTTTTTCATAGAATATCACTTCCTTCAAAGCTTATCAAAATTAACTCGTGTACGTTTATTTTTATTTCTGCTAATAAGTTGAATAATTGGTTCACTAAGAAATTTCCAATTTTCCCAGGAGATTCATGATTCCACAATTGCCTTATTAAAAACATCTGCCAGCCCTGAAAAAAATGCTGCTGGTCAGATAGTCAGGACAGTACATGCCGATGAAATGCTTTGCTGTCAAGATACCAGAATAGGGAGCTATTACCAGGATTTAGACTTGCCAACATGGGGATATAGAGGAAGAAATCATTCAGTAGAAGCAAAAAACCTGAAGGATGGTGAAAAGAATATAGCTATTCCCCTTAAAAGAAAGCAAGATGTGCCTACGTGTTGTTCAGAGAAAACAAGAAGATTACCTGTAAAGATCTACACTTCACATGAAAGAAGATACAACTGGACTTCTGAACAAACAGAGTCTTCTGAAAAGTATCTTTGTGATATCAGGAGTTTGGGATGTGAAGAAAAAAGAGAATTGCTTGCAACTATAGAACAGGCAGTGGCTTTTGTAACTACTATGGTATTTCAAGATGGTTCTTCACAGCTCGACTCAGAGCAGGTTAGTGAATGATGTGTTTTGTTTAGAGTCAGTTTTGTAGAACCATTTGAACTGTGCATATGACTGATAAACACAAAACCATGTTCATTGGGAGCCTACACTCGACCCGTTTTGTGTATTATTGCTTACCAAAATATAAATGTAAAATCGGGTAAACCTTAATACTTCTGACTACATTTTATTTTTAGTTACCAAGTAAAACTTATTAAAAAAAAAAAAGAAACCGCTTGGGCTAAACAAGCATTTGTATACTTAAAGTGAGACTGTTTGAATTAGAGTATTTTTTCCTACTTTTCACTGTGTCACTGTGGATTTTTGTTTCAAGGCTGAAACACTTGCATGCTCCTCTACTGTGTCAATGGTATATGCAATACCTCTAGTGTACATAATAGGTTTCATATTGTAAAATATGTGGGAGATTTTCTTTATAGGATTACATAAAATCTGTCAGAGGAAACGCTCTTGTAATTATACTTAACAGGTGTTAACCTCATCAGTAAAAGGAGTTGTTGTGTTAGTGAAGAATCAGACTGACCACCCTTGCCCTCCCAGTTACTTTTCAACTGACTATACTTGGAATGCTGCTAATGAAAATGATAAATTAATTTATTTAAAAACTGAAGGGTCATCTCTTTGGGAACAAGAACAACAGGCTCACAAGAAATTTGCTTGGTGAGAGTAATACTGGTTTGCTTTACATATGCTTTTAGCAACAGTGATGTTGGTTACATGGCAGAGGCTTAATTTCCTTACACATCAAGCTCATTGAATTTCATATTAGCTGTATTGGTTCTGTGTCAAGCCTGGGCTAATATAAACCAAATAAGAATAGACTATTCCGTTGGCCTCAGCGTACTACTAAGTGCAGTCCTGCAGAACTAGATTGGGATTCTGGTAGGAGCTGTTTACATTCACCTAGAAATCCTTTATGAACAGTTTACAGCTATAGGGCACCAAAAAATATGATCCATCCAGGTTTGTCTTTCTTGTATCTTATCTTCCATTTCCTGAACTGCATTTCTTATGTAGTACATTTTTGATGGATGTTATTACGGTAAACATCCTTTTTGAGCTCTGCTAATATTTTTAATTTTTTGAGCACAATAGGCTTTTTAAATGGCTTTTCAGATCCCAAATGAAGTTTTCCTAGTATTCAGTAATAATGTTACATCAAAATTACGAGATAATTTTTTAAAGTAAATGCTTTATGTATCTGTTTTAATAGTTGGACTAAGTTTTAAAAAAAAGTTGGATTATGTTTTAAACTCCCAGTTAGTATAACCAAAATTCATTTTTATTCCTTACTATTAACTTTAAAATAGTACCCCATAAAGGCATAAATGAGAACTGAATCTGATTCTTGGATATAATAGAAGCCTGTTAAAACTTCATTAGAATATTTTGACTTTCAGTAATAACTGCTTTATTGTAAACTGCTGAATTTGGGTTATTAAATTACAAAGCATTCATTTTCAAGATGTTGGACTTGGTTGTTAGTTGCATCTCTGCCACTGCTCCACTGTGACTTGAAACAAATCACTTCATTTACCTGTACTTCTCCAGCTGTAATATTGGAGGTGTATGACAACTAGTTTAATAACTTGTTGTTAGTTTGAATATAGGTTGTTCTGAATTGAGAATAACGTATCAATAAAGCATGTACATATCAACAGTAAAAATTCAATAATAAGTTGAATAAGTGTATTAGCATTTAGATGAAACCTATAGGTAATTATTTGTTGTAAGAATGCTGCAGTTTTTTAGTAGTGGATCTACACTGTATACAATAATACCTTATGATCTACACAATTTCTGATATGTCCAAAAACTTGGTACTGTGGTTTCACATCATCAAAGATAAATAAACTTGAAAGCGCTATAAAAAATTATTTTTCTATACTGCCCAAAATAGAGCTTTTTAAAAAAAAGACACAAATAATTAGTAAAATCTGTATACCAATACATATAATTGTTAAAATCTATTTAAAATAGCATGGATGTGGGAACTATAGACATTTTCAAAAGGAATGGAAAGATGTGACAAAGATGAAGCATACTAGATTTAAATAGCATATTAACACTAGGCAATTATGGCAATTTAGATTGTCTAGTAACTTTTAAGTCATGATTTTACAATACTACATTAACTCAGAAGCCTCTGTGATCTTATTTGGGTATATTAAAGTATTACAGGGATGCCAGTTGCTGTTTCAGATTAAGATTGCATTTAATTTTGAGTGTCAAATAAGGATTTGTTTTATTTATGAATGCATGATAAGGCATATCTGCTAGGATGTTTAATTTATTATAGAATGAAGCTTCAGGTATTATTGAATTGAGAATTTAATATTCAAATACAGTATTCTGTTCTTACAGGAATAAAGAAATGTCTTGTGTTAACTGTTTAGTATTAGGTGCTAATTAAATATATAAAGTAAATAAATTCACTAAATCTAGTAGCAATATAGTGTGTGTTAATGAACTACTTCTGTGCAGGCAAGTGTTGTTTCAAATGCTACATTGCAAAGTTCCGATTATTTGCTTCAATGCAAAAGATTTCCTGAGGACTCTACTTCAAGTTTATGGTAATGAAATTAGCTGGAAACAAGGTAACTATCTAATCTAATCTATAATCTAATCCTATAATCTCTGTGTGTTTGATGTTTCTGTTAAAATCACTAGGTGTAGAAGTAACTAGAGTGGTGGTTAAGTAATATATTGGAAAACAGAATTTTAGTACCATGGAAAAGAACACCCTTCTTGGGGGAGGTTGTGACCAGAGGCTTGGCATGTCAAGATAATGTATTTCTTCTCAGAGCAGGAATCAAATCATTGAATAATTTAAGGATAGCTTCCAGTGGAAACAAAAGCTCTCAACACAGTCCTGACTATAGCTGAAAAGATCAAACTGCTTCATGTTTCATGTTCCCTAGAAAAACTTTCTCTGCTCAAGAGGAAAGGCTAAAATAAATTCCAGAGGTGCTTATAGTTGTCAGAATCAGGAATCATTTGAATGGGTCCTTGTTTTTTTGATAGGAACAAATAAAATTCTTTTGTATGGATTTAAAGGCAACCACAAACAGAAGAGATAAGATGTAAATATAATGTTTACTTTTTTTCTTCATTCTATGTATTGGATTACTGCTGAGTGAATTACAAAAATAAGTGTGACCTTTCAGGAAGGACTCACTCTGTGGAGAGTCTTCAGCTTGTGTTCAGCATCTGAAAAGTTTCATTAGTAAATCACAGTAAACTGATGATGATTTAGAATCTGGTGTGAAGATCTACACAAAAGACACTTAGCCCTGAGAATGGGAAGGTGGGGGGAAAGAAACATCATGATGGTGCTGGCACTAGTGACAATTTTATAACCTGTACATACAGGAAATACTAGATCTAGGTTAGATCCTATCTGATGCATAGGATTTGAATCTGAAGTTTCTAATATCCAAAAGAATTCTTGTCTAGGTTTATTTTTAAACTTTTTGCTGAGCAGCCACATTAAGTTCTTTTCAGGAACATTTATATCAGTGGAGGTAAACAAGCCTGGTTCTCTTTGGAATAGTCCTGCAGCTGTAACTTGCATTATGGACATTAAAGTCTGTAAGGTTGCGTGCATGGAGTTCTCTATAACTGTACCTGTGGGTTGTCATTTGGACTTACTTAGGGGTTACTGAAGAGGATACTGAGATCTATCTTTGAATATATCACAAAACATTCTAGTTACTAGTTTCTCTCTCCTCTTCTTTGTAGTACTACAATACATATGTAGAGATTGTAGTTAGAAGGGAAATGAAACAGCACTAGGGTTGCTCCATCCTATGTATCTATGTGAACGTGAGAGAAAGGGCAGTATAAGCACATACGACCCTATAGGATAAAAGGTTCTGATTTTTGGGAACAATGCATTGTGCACCCATATGTGAATTCATATATACGTTAAAGATCTCAGAAGTCTGATTGCTGGGAAGTAAATCTTCTCTCCCAAGAGCAATTTTGTGGATATCAATCAAGTAACAGCAACAACAAAACTGTACCAGAGGCAGACACTCACAAGAAAAGCTTCAATATGAAATTTTTTAGTGGTAAGAAAGAGAGGCTTTTACAGTCAATCTTAAGAACCAAAGGTTTACTCACATTTTAAAACTTGAAAAAACAAAACCAAAAACCAAACCCACAAAAAACCCTCTTCAAAAATATTCAATATTGAACTTCCTCCTGTGTAGTCATGATATTGACCGTTTGTTACAGCTACAAATTCAATGTTTAACATTTTTGTAGTGTAAATGCTTGTCTATTTATGATATGTGTCTACAGGAAAGATGGGCAAAACTTCAGTGGTATTTCTCAGTATGTAAGGTAATTTAAATATTTTGATTGTCAGAAATAACTTATTTTTGTAGTTGCTGATAGTGTCGTGTTAGATCCAAGGATTGCAGCATGGCTGATAAACCCCAGCGACACAGTTCCCTCTTTTGAATGTTTAATACAGAAGTATTTTGAAAAGCCTTTTTCTATGGCAACAGTAAATACAGATACAGGCACTTTGAGAAATGCATCAGTAAGTAGTTTTTTTTAAATTGTTTGTGGTTGGGTTAAAAAGGGAAGTAAATGATAAAAGAATCGCTTTTGCTTACAAAATATTGCAAAAAAAGGACAGATAATGCTTTTCTGATGGAAAAAAGTTATTATATTAATACTACTTGTTGGAAATTTGATTTTAAAGAAAGGGGAGAAGGGAATGGTTCACTGCTTTCTACCAACATGGGATCATATTCTCCAGGAACAGCTGTAAAATTTGCTTCAAAACTGTAAAGTTCAGCAACAATATTAATTAATGTATAATCTGATCTTTTTTCTTTCCACCTCCCTGCAAACTGATTTCCAGCTTTTGTTTCCAAAATGTCTAATGCCTTGGTCTCCAATTCCTGTGAACTTGTAGCCTGTATTTAGTTAATTGTTATTAACAATTTTGCTGAATTTCAGAGCTGATAAAGACACCACATCATAGGCTGAGGAACAATAGGGAGTCAAATGTGAACTTTCAAGCACATGTATGAAAAATTTGTGAATTTTTGTTCTCCATAAGAGAGAATGGATGATGAACTTTTTGAGAAGTTATTCCCAGCACTATAGAAATGTCTTACTGTCTGTTGACACTTATTTACTGAATGTTATAAAATATTGGTATTTGTATTTTGGGCCATGGTGATCCATTCTGGATACATTAGCCTTCAGAGGTTGTTTGAATGATAAAAATAGATGTGCAGCAACCTAAATGATGGGGGTTTTTTTTGAAACCTTTCACTTTTCAGAGGCCTTGCTTGTTCAGACACAAGTATTGTAACATGATGATAGGGCTTCTAGGATACGAGTCCACAGATGTCAAGTGGGCTTAGAGCATGGACAGAGGTCAGTTGTATCAGCACATACCCATCAGTACAGACATTTCTGAGAAAACCAGAGCCAGTTTACTTTAAAACACTAGCTGCAACCTGCAGTTGTTCAGAAGCTACTTAATGAATTAA